TCACAACCCCCTGACATTTTTGCATAAATTGTCAAACAAGAATCAAAGACTGACTAGATGGAGTTTGTTGTTACAAGAATACAACATAACAATTAAGCATATCAAAGGCAAAGACAATGTTATTGCAGATGCCTTGTCCAGAGTATCATGAACAAATTAGATTTTGTATTAATGTACATATATTTCATTTTGACAATATAAGTTTTCATTGACATTCAAACTTTTTAAGGGGGGAGGTGTTGTGAGATGTGTTGTATTTGTATTGTTTCATCAGTAACATTAAGTTTCTTGAACATTCCAGAGTGGTCATTATGTTTGGTCATTTTTTCTAGAACATTCTTGAACTTTATTCATGTCCAGAACTTTCCAGGAATATCATGTATTTACAATTTCTAGAATATTCTAGATTTATGATACTGTATAAATACCCTGTCAATTCGATGCATAAATAATTGTGGATACATTGTCGTATAAGCATCATTGAGGTATTACTGGGATATAATTTCACTGGGACATTGTGTGCAGCAACGGACACTCTGATGTATGTATTTTTAGATTTTTGCTAAGTTTATACTTTATGTTTGATATATTTATTATATATTACTGTAAATAAATTATTGTTAAGTTTAAATTGTGTTATTGATCTTTGCTGGCATTTCGGGTAATTCTGACCCATAACATAATTAAGCAATGGCTGCATCTTTATCATTTAGAATCATAAGTTCTTGTAAAGGATTTAATCTTGCATTAAACGTGCAGAATTGTTTGAGTAATGTGATTGTTTGTGTATGTTTTCAATGATAATGTTGCAGCTTCTGTATTTTAATTATGTTTAAAAATGAATTTAAAAGTTTAAGTGGGTTATGATTTTAATTTTGTATGGTGTCTCATTACTGATAAGCGAAATAATGCTGCCTGATTTCTAGTAACTATTTGTGTTGATTGTGTTCCAGAAATGTATAAGTTATGGTTGTGGAGAAAATTTACAAGATACATTCCGCTCAGCTGTATTGTACCACAGTAACGGACCAAAGTGGGGAGAAACTGTTAGGGTCAGTCAGTTTGTAATCAATTACTATATTATAGGCTAGTGTTGCCTATTTTCTTACATGCACAAAATCTTTTATTAAATAAAGTTTCTAAAAAAAAAGATTAAAGATTATTTTCCTTTCCTTTTACCCATATTAGATTTCTATACCTATGGAAAAATTCCCAGGCTCTAGTGCTTTGTTTGAAATCTCACACTGCTCAAGTAAGTTTTACTACTGCAAATCAAATTTTTCATAGAATGAGCTGTATGTTTTTCAAGGGTAAAAAGTTTGTTTACTTGATACATTACAGCCAAATCCAGTAAAGCAGAGAAGAAGCTCTGTGGATTTGCCTTCATGAGATTGACAGATGATGAAGATATTGTGATCAAAGATGCATATCATACACTCTGTATATACAAGGTACAAAATGTTTATATCTGCATTCTAAAATCAGAATGAGGCCTGACAAAAATGTCTCTGATTTAGTGAAATTGAGTTGCCACTTTATAGCCAAATAGAAGCTGGCAGTCTTTTTGGCAGTCATGTGTTGCATTTTAACCATTGAATGTGTGACATTTCGATCCAAAGGAAACATAACTTTTCATATTTGACTTGTATTTTACAGTGTGAAGACCCCAGTAAGATTAAGTATGAGAAGTACAAGACAATGCCATTCCTGGTGGATGATTTTGGAGACCCCCGGCAGTCTGTGTTCATAACAAAGTCCCTCCCCTACACCCGCAGTGCCAGGGAGACCATCCAAGTGTCCACTAAACTGACATCCACAAAATTCACACAAACATGTAAGTATACAAACCGACACCACAAAATTCACATAAATGTGTAGGTATACAAACTGTAAATATCACAAACTGTGATATAAAAAGTTTTTTTAAAGGACTAAATTTTAATTGTTTTTCTCTTGATATTAAAAATATTTATGTTTGAGATAATGAGGTTTGACTGTCCTTTATTAGCTGAGCTACTTGGAGTTTTGAAATGGAGAGATTGTATGAGTGACTTGGAAAGAAATTTGGACAAACTGATGAATTTACAAGGAGGAGAAATTATGAAGGTAAGTGAGCCTTTAGGTTGTATTGTACAATTATATTTAAACTAACCTAATGAATAGTTGTCAGTGTCAAGGGATGGTGTTTTTTCACACCATTTAAGAAGTTTGCAGTCTGTTGACTTGTGATACGTGAAGAATTACTGAGCTACAGACACTATCTGTATAAATGTCCTTTAATTAAGCAGGTTCCTGTGTCTAGTTTAGAAAATTAATATAATGTAGAGAATTCATGCTTTCTTTGTAATATTGGAAAACAGCTCCAATTTTTTGCAATTTTCTTAGGTACTTCTCTATATATTAATAGTGTTGTTTTGTTTTCAGTTTTTGTCAGACATTCTTGATGCTTTGTTTGAAATGCTCCAAGCAGGCAGTCAGACCCAGTACTATACCAAAGTGTTTCATGCTTTAGTAAGTTTGCTGTCCAATTAATTGAGATGCTTGAGTTTCAAGTTAAAAAGACACTAGTGATTTTGTGATAACTTCAAATTTAAAAGCATTCTTTTCTTCTACAGATTTTCATTCTAAACTTGCTGTTAGACAGCAGGTTTGAGAACTTTGTACCAGTGTTAGACAGCTATCTCAAAGAAACATTCACATCACCTCTAGTCCATACGTAAGTAAAAGCACAGCCATCTAAAGTGAAGAGAATTAAGATCAAGTGTCACAACTTGTATTTCTATGAAATTTCCTGATGGTGTTTAAAGGTTGGTTTCCCTCACTTTTATAGAATAAAAAAAAATTCTATAACATATTTTATTTTGGGTATTTCCGTATTTGTCATATTATGGAAAGAAACTTGATAATCAATTTGCTACAGTGTTGAAATGCGGATAGAATCCAACTTGATTTACATTCACCACAGGTTTATCACAGCACATGAATCACATTTTAAAAGTTGTGAACTTTTTTACAAGAATCTATGTATCTGTGATTGAAATAAGAATCAGATTTGGTGGTCTATGTTAACCAGATGATGTGTGTATTTCAGCCATTTGATGTCCTTGTTCTCGGACGGCATTCTGCGGGCAGTCAAAGGGGAGACCTTCCCAGTGGCCATGTCACTCAAGGTAAACTAAAAATAGATTCCATTTTCATGGTCAATGATAGTTCATTTTATTATATACCCATCAATTTCCTTGTTTTTGTTACTGTTTATTTTACAGAGTTTGATCCGATTTTCCGGATCACCACACTGTGGTTTTCTGAATCCATATCACCACTCTCTGAAACTGATGACGTAGTACGCAAAAACATGACGTTATTTTTCTTGCGCGTTAAAAAGTCCCTTGTTATTATGCTTTGTTTTATGGATAAATATTATACAATTGATCTCTAAAGTTTTATTCTGCTATATTTAGCTAGTTATAAGGGGGTATATAATAAATTTATCATTATAACAGTAACTTGATCCGAAGAGCCGTATCACGTCTCGTTGACAGGCGCGGATCATCAGACCAAACTCGCCGCTTCGCGTCTCGTTAGATCTGATGATCCGCGCCTGTCAACTTGACGTGATACGACCCTTCGGATCAAGATACTGTTATAATAATATATATGTATTGTAAATTGAAATGTTCAGTTTTGTCAAATGATATTATTGATGCTAAGAAAACCAATCAAACCAGGTGTTGTGTTTGAATGTTATTTGACTTAACCTTTGTTTCTTTACAGTGATGTTTGCCCTATACTGTATTATAATTAAGAGTAGGTAGATGTTCATTTTGTAGTAAGAAACTTAGCAGGTTTACACTTATAAATAGTTGCTCTTTTGTTTCAGTGCAAATACTCTTTCAGAGTTTTTCAGGGTGTGATATTGGAGCTTGCAATACTATGCTAAGATTATTTTTCTTTCTCATCTATTTGAGCAAGTATTATATTAATCAGAGAAAATCTAATAAAAAATGATGAACAATTAACTACATGTAAATAAGTCTATCAACAGCAGAAATTAAGAGTCATTATGACAAGGAATTCCACTGCTGTAAACAGCTTTATTATGTACAGTTTAACTTTGGTATCTTGAGCATAAATATTTCAAATGAAATGGATATGTCAAAGTGATTTAGAGTCCCAACTACCATTCTTCAGGCATTCAACCCTTATTTTTTAAAATCCTCTTTATCTCAGAAGTTTTTCTTGGTCCCATTAAATTTGAGATAGGGAGGTTTAGCTGTATTGAATAACTACGTACAAGTGTGGTTATGTATAGTATTGCAACATTTATTTCTTTCTTAGAATATTTCTGTACAGGATACTGATGGCTCTATTCATCTCTACTGTTTTATAAGTTGTGGCCTTTGATCTGATTTTATTGTGTTATATTTTTAATGTTGTAGAGGTGTTTTTTATTTTATGTATTTATGATCTTCTGCATGTTGTTTTTTAACTTACTTTTTAGCACATTTTATACCTCAGAATTTAACCATTTTTCAAATCAAAAGTAAAACTTGCAAATTTCCCAAACATTCTCATGATAATTGAAGAATTTCTGAAAACATTAAAACAAGTATACTCATTTCTGGACTTTGACATCAACTTTTACTTATTGTATGGTAGATTGTTATGGATTTGACTTCTCTTCTATCTTTAGGTGCTTGCCCCACTTGTGAGATTCATTGTGCGATCTCGGGAACTCGAGACTCTAAAGTAAGTATACTTTGTATCACTAGTAATAAAGTGACCTATCAACACATACATTGTTTTGTCTGTTACTACTTGCAAATATTTGCATAATGAGACATTCTGTTTATCAGTCTAATATAGCCAGTCCATATTTCATGATTTAAATGTCATTTTTTTTAATATCTATTGTACACGGCTAGATATTGTTTTAGACACAATAAATCACTATTTTATTCTGAAGAAAGCTGAATCGGCTAGCTAGATGATAAATCATCTTTATTATTTTTCTCCCGCAGCCCCATGTGTCGTAACTCTAAGTCAGAAAAAGACTATCAGATCCAGATCTCGCAGCTGTTTGACAGCTTTGGATGTCTCCTGGCCTCAAAGGACCAAAGACTCAAGATCTCACAGGTCTGTACAAACAATTAATGTTAAAAATCACAAATTTTCCTGGGGTTAAATTTGTTAGGTTTGAGAACGAAGTATTGGTTTGTGGGGAATTGATTTTGAGGTTTGAGCAGTGTTGAGTAATGCATATGAAATTCTATATTTCCTGGTGGTCATCAATTTATGGCTCTCTCCATACCTCGAAAACAACAAAAATTAAACCCCCACGAAGATTTGTTATTTCATGTTAAACATCCTTACATTGAAATTTTATGTAAAAAAAAAAGAGGGTTATAAGCAAAGATGGATATTGTTTTATATTTTGAGGTTAACTTTGTATATTATGCTGTGTATATTTAGGGCAAAATATATCTTTCTACAACATTGTGAATTTCTGCTATATGATTTCTTAAGATGGCTTTGCTGTCCAATATGCGGAAGTCATTTGAAACTTTTGTTGTGATCATGACCAAGAAGCAGCTTGCTGACTATGTTAAGGCCGTGATTTCTAAACTGCCACCCCTACGGGAAATCTCGGAGGACGTAGCCAGGAACAAGATGGAGTTCACCAGGGAGATAGTCAACTCCGACCTATTTCTGGATGATGGTAAGTAAAAAGCTTATAAATACTTTTAACAAACCTTTCTCATATAGTAGCTTAATTAATTGTCATTGATCAATCCCTGTATGATGTGATGTTACAGAATCTCGCAGTGTTATGCTGCCCTTGTGTATGAATCATGTTAGGCAGTGTCTTCATCAGAAAATGTTTCTACAGCTTGTGACGAGCACACTTGGAGACATACTGGACAAGTTGTTCACACTCAAACAGGTACTCAAGCATATCCCTTTCACTTAGGAAGTTCTTAATAATAGAAAGGGTGTTTATTTATCTGGTTTCTTACATGTATTCCCCTTTTTTCCACCTCCTTAAGTGCATTTTGAATTTCATATGTCAAATATTTCACAAAATTCAACCAATTCTGACATGATAATTACATTTTGCTCTTTTCTCACAGGAGAAAGATATGTCTGATGACATTGAAATGTTTGCCAAATACATGTTTCCTGTGATGGTGGATACGACCTTGACCTTAAGTGAGAAGGTGGTTCCCCACTCCTTTTCTGTGACGGTAAATCATTACATCAGTATCAGTGTGTTTTATTGTGTTAGCGTTGGTGGGTGTAGTTTCTAACTTTTGTTTGATGTAGTGCTGCTCCTCAGTATTGTTTAACCCTGGATCACTGATATTTTTGTCATTAGGCTACATAAAATTGAAATTCTGGTTCTCAGGCCTGTGCAGATCCGTTTGGAGGTAGCCACAATACTAATTTTATTGTATTTTTGATAAAATAAATAGTTGGTATTGTGGAGACCAATCCAGAAAAAAGTTCCATCCTCACTTTTTCATAGTTTATACTCAAATCTCACTTCCGGTAGCCTTTGGCAAAGAGATCTGGCTACTTTGTTTAAAAATACATTCAAAGACATTGTCTACGATGCCAACTTTTGAAAATTCCCATGGGGATTTAGCGCGTGACGACAATTTTCAAAGCTTTAAATTCGCGACATTTTGTCGTGAAATTAAATGATTATGAAATGATCTTTTTTTAAATGTATTATATTTGATATCACTTATTAATACAACTTAAGGATTAATTTAACACAAAAAATTAATCAAAAAAATTTTTTTAAAAAAAATGGGTTTTTTTTTTCCAAAATTGAAATATTTTTGCTGAAATAAGTGCTTCTCTCATTAAAAACTTGTTTTTTTTTTCTACCAGGACACATAATTTAGTGAAAAATTGAAAATTGTACAACTTTTAAATCATTTTTTTCAAAGGCTAAAAAATATATGAGGTTTTGATACTGTAAAGTCCTGTTTCTGGAAACATTTTTGAGATTTTTTAATTATATTTCAATTAATTAGAGATTCTAATAAGGTATTAAATTTACTGAAATTTATACCACCTATCCAAAGGAGAATTTTTTTTTTTTTTTACAGTCATGAAATTTGTCAGGCTTGATGGTGCCATGTGGGTATTTCCTTAAGTCATGCACATACCTATAAAATATTACTTTTGGGAGAAGGAAGGGAAAAGAAATTCTAACTGACATATACTTGATTGTTTCATCTTAATTTCATAATATTTTAACTGGCAAACTTTACAATATTTTTCATTATAGGTAGATAAAATCAGCAGCTATGCTTTGTAGTTTTCTACTTTCGTTTTCAAAAAACGATCTCTTTGGATTCCGATTTTATAGTTTGATTAGTATTTCATTGTCTTTAATTTATGTTTTTAATAAAATGACTAACAATTAACACGTTAATCTATGTGTTTCACCTTGCATACCCCTCAAAACTGACAAGATAATCCCCTAATTGCCCCAAGCTATAAGCTACTTGTACCTGGACAACTGCGTGCGTTCAGGCGTGAAGTGATTTCCTGTGGCTAATTAACATTGTTAAATAAACAATGAAACTTATCTGAGTGCATTAAATAAACAAGTTTGACATTGTTATGACCCGATTGCCAAAATTCAGTGGTAGGGAATCTTTTATAATCGGAAATTTTGGTGATTTTTTCAAATCGGGAAATTGGGGCAATTTTTCTTTCACGATCGGGAAAGCGGGATGAAAGGGTAAAATCGGGAGGATCCCGCCTAAATCGGGAAAGTTGGCATGTATGTGTTCACGCATTGATAAGCAATGGATAATGCAAACCTTTTGATCTGACATGGATCTATGAAACAAAGAATTTTTATCATTATTTTAAAGAAAATTCGAAAATTAAAATTAAAAAAATACCTCCCTCATCTACTTTATTGCCAATAAAATGATAAATAAAATGCCTCCCTCCCGCATCTGTTTTGGAAAAAATTGGCCTGAGAACCAGAAAATTAAATTTATGTAGCCTAATTTCTAACTATAGATTGAACAATTAGATTATTAAAAGAAAAAAGAAATTTTGATACTGTTAAACTTTGCTATCTCAAACACTGATAGCTTGAATACCATGGATATGTTGAAGTGATTTCTAGGGCCCAAATCATATTTTCTCTTTACATCTTGATTTAGTGAAAATTGCCAAGTTTTTTTCGTGTTCCCTTTGAGTTTGAGGTAGCCAGGTTTGACGGAAATTTAATAGTTGGAAGCACTATAGAGTTGCTGAATTTTAGCTATATTACTTACAACAGTTTATATCAATATTTATTAGTGTATCTGTTTTCATTTTACATGTACTAGTATAAATATTTTATTTAGAATTTATATGATTTTTCTGGGTCTTATGGGATATGTGTGTTCTGCTGTACAGTAACTAAATATCTGTGGTGTTGGAGTCTTGAACAAGTGTTCATACAGAAAAATGTTAAGGAAATTGATTTTTTTTCTAAATTTTTATTTGATACATACGAGTGTTTTAAAATACATTCTGATTAACAATAAGTAGCTTGTGATACAAAAGGTTCATAATGTTTTATGTGAGTAAAATGCCAAAAATATTTCGTCCAGAATTATTTTCTTACTGTTAATATTTTGTGTTAGATACAGTACTTAAAAAATTTTATATTAAAAAGAATACAATCATTCATTTGTGTAAAAGGCATGGTATCGTTCATGTTTTTCTGGCGACTTAGTCATAGCTATCACAGTCATATACACTGAGCGACATAAGAAAGGATACACATGCTTCTTGAAGCCATTCATAATACAAACTCAAGAAATGTATTGATTTAAACAGAATTGATGACATATTTGTAGAGTAAGGTGTGTGTTTCATTTACAGTGGACCAGATTTAGTATCATATAATGTAGCCACATTACAGTAGTACCCTAACATGGCAACTTCTTTAAGTCTGTCCTGCTCTTACATTCCAAAGTTGATGTATCTTTTGTCTTTGGTCTGATGATCATTAGTAGGAAAAAGAGAAAGAACATTTCATACTTGAAAAAAAGAGGTTTACTGTACAATATAATCTCTTATTTTCTTATTGAAGCCATTAGGTGAAAGTCAAGTGTAATTGAAATGTTTGGACTAAAAAAGAAATTTATAGGTTAAATGGTTAGCAGCCAATTATGAAAGCTAACTACCATGTGCATGTACATCTCTTATTGTAGCCCCAGATTGAAAAGTATGGGAGTGTAGCTAGTGCTCACAGTCCCTCTAATTTTAATCATAGTTCCTTCATTTCTAGAATTAAATACAACAGTGACTAATTTTTCATGCTCTTCAACACACATAAAGCCTTTTTATTTGAAAGGTTACCTGCTTAATTAAGGGTCCTCCACACCATGTGACTTGTGACGTATATAGAGAAAAAATACTTTTACTTCCGGTTTTATGTAGATGTTGCATCAGCGAATTGCCTGGAAACCGCTTTTAAGAGAATCTTCATATGTTGCACACTCATAACAATGAACACATGGCATGGTCACGGAGTGATCGATAGAAAAAGATGTCAGTTTTTTCTATAAAAGACAGACAAATGACTGGGTTTATGTTACATAATAATTCGTAAACAACGAATGCCGGTATGATGGGAACTTTTAGGTTATTTATACTTTCAGGCTAATCAACCCACTGACATGATTATCGTCAACAGAGTCTGTGTTGAAAGTTGATATTTTTGCACACTAATTTGTGCGTTTCAATAATACGTCATCTCATTGTGTTTATAAATATTAATAAAATATTGTGCGTTTCTAGTTTTCCTCTTTTACATGTATTTCTGTCTAGTTCAGTAGCCGATAATGAGTAACTATTGTGGAGACTTGCCAAAGTTTTTGAGTCCCGGGCAACAGGAAAGATAACTCCAAAAAGGAACTTTGATACCAATGATTTTCAAAATATTTTTTCTACATTACTGCATTAATTTTAATTCAATTTTTTGGTGTAATCTAATTCATTGATGTTTCTTCTATACAAAATGAGTCTTCCTTGATTTTTCTCTAGATGTATTTGAGAGAAAATGAGTTTTATTTATTTTTTATAAATTAAATTAATTTCTCTAAAAAATATGTTGATCGCTAAAATTAAATTTTTATGGTTATTCTGTGAGCATAAAAATATACGATAGGATAAGACAAAATTTTTGGTGCTACGTATGAAAACGCCTTGGGAAAAATATTTTGAAACTTGTGAAATTATTATTTTAAAAATTCCGTATAAGGCCATAATAAAAATATTTCTAGATTCTCATCCCCGCTCGCCCCGATTTTATACCCCCGCCTCGATTTTTTTAATTTCTGTTTTTCTTCGTCTTTATTCTGATCGGGATCGGTATTCATCTACCATTCTAATTTCGTTTTAAATCCCGCGAAAGTCGACATGATTTTGACAACTGAAAATACATGCGTATATATTTCAAACAAGGGTCATTGGTTGTAAAAGATTGGTGATTATGTGAAGTAAGAGATAATTGAACCTTTACTATGACTTTTATTTGGGTATTGTAGATAAAATTACGCCGATTGACAGGTCAATAAAAAATCTGCAAAATTGAAAAGATAAAAAATATAAAATAAAAGCCGCCCGCCCGCCTCGATTTTTAAAAAAATTCGGATGAGAATCTAGCAATTTATTTATTATGGCCTAAATTACATTTTAATCCCTGGTCAGTTTTTAAAGGTTCATATGCTTGTTAAAAGTAATGCTCAATAATATGAGAACATAAGCTATGTGTGTGTGGAGGACCCTTAAGCAAAAAAAAAAAAAACAAAAAAAAAAACACACACACACACACAAACATGCAAAATTCTATGGATTAATGATTTTTGATAGCTTGACTGCTTTTCATTGCAATATTCTAACATGAATAATATATAGTGCTAGATTAAACATCTGGTAGCAGGGGCTTACAAATAGATTTTTAAGGCACTTTTCCAAGGGCAAGTACATGGTCAAAATTCACTTGACCTACCTGAATTTTGGCTTGCCCCATCAAAAACTAATACTAGGCCTAAAATAAAATTAAGTTTGTTTGCAGTTGCCGACCGACCCACTGAAAATGCACCCGACCCAAACTTTTTTTTTTAGCCATTTGGTAATTTGATCTTTTTTTCAATTTTTCAGAATATTGAAACAGTTTCGTTTTCAAATTTTGACAGGTTTTTAATCATTCAGTAGTTTATAACAAGAGGTGAGCTTATTCATGTCTAGTAGGTATATGAAAACGTCTTTTAATTGTTATCTACCAAAAATCTGATTTTTTTTCCAAAAAAAAAAAAAAAAAAGAATGCTTACCTACCGACCCAGTCTAAAAATTATAGGTCGGCAACTGCAAACAAAGAATTTTTTAAGCTTGGCCCTATATTCATAAATATTTCAAAAAAAGAGGAAGATAAATACTGAGTAGAGCATGCAAGCCCCCATGCCCAGCTTTACATCTTTGACTTACATGTTGATTTTAATTTTTTTGATAAGTCAATTGGGCAAGTGGTTGATAAAATTTCACTTGCCCACCCCTAAAATTCACTAGCCCCGGCACTGGGCAATGGGATTTGTCATCCCCCGGGTAGATTGAAAATTGAGATATAGACATATTATGAGGGGGAAGCATGAGGATAACAAGCAGTATTCAAGATTAACAGTTATTCAAATTAGAATGAGAGCAAACATGGACCTTTAAAAAAATCAGAAGTGGGATCAGATGCCACAGAGGAGTAAGCATTCTTTGTCTACTAGTCACTTCTGCTGGCGTGCCTTAAATTGGTTTGATCCGGCAAATAGAAAAACCCATGGACTTCAGGGTGTAAAATATAGACTAACAATTTGTATGTCAGAAAAACATTGGTTAAACATTTGATTTAACGGTAGATGGTATTTGCTGACAAGTCATTGTACCCATCATAGAATTGACAAAATGCGGACTTTAAACAAAATGTCGATGTCCTAGCTTGTTTTGTCAGCTTGTTTGTCAATATCTTGTCTGGCTTTAAACATTGTTCATTTGTAGAGCATGCCACTACAAATTAAATCAACTGGGAGACATAAAGATTTTTTGTTAGGCAGTTAGAAAATGACAGTGTATCCTTTCTTTTGTCCTTGAGTATATACTGTATATTATTACATGCTAGCAGTTCTATGATGTAGAAGGATATGTTTCTAGTCATTCCTACATGTCAATGACTTCTGTGTAGAGCTTTGAACTGATACATTGTTGTAGCCCGCTATATCACCACAACAAGAAACCCAAGATTTTGACTGCGAGGATGAGGAGGTTCAGAAAAAAGGAAACAAACGCCATGTCGACCGCGATCGCCGCCGCACTCTGACGGGAATTAACTTTTTTACCTCTAAACCAAGACCACCCTCCATCTCAATGCAAACACCTACTCATAGTTTGAAAACTATCGATAGTACCCCAGTCAAAAATGTAGGCATTCAGATTCATTCTCATTAATTTTCTACTTTATAAATTAAAACAGTTATTGTCAACATGTTTAGAGTTAATGCCTGCAAAAATCAAATATTGTCTTAATTATGCAAATAATGAATCAATACTTTTGTTTATAAATTATGTTTATTTTTTTTTATTTTCTTTTAAAATTAAAGATTCTCATTACTATCACATTTGTTCAAGCTAAAACATTAAAATATCAAATTGAAAAGTTTTTAAATCATATAAATGTGAGATAAAAACTCTTTTAAATCAATTTTTTTTTTAATTTTTCACAATTTCAATAAGTATCATATAAAGTTTTTACTCATTTTTATAAAGTCTTAAATGCTAGATATCTAAACTGCCCATTTAATGAGTTAAATTTTTTTTAAAAAGTTATGTAATGTTCATTCCTGAAGCCCTTTGTTAGTGAGATGCTTATCACATTGTTCATGCCTTCATTCATTGTTAGTTGGAGGTGACCGATATCTTCAAGAAAAAAGTCCCCACATTCTCCATGGAAGACCTCGGGCTGAGTGTAAATTTTACATTGAAATACGCATGATAACGCAGGACAACGCTGCTGATAAAACGCATGATAACCGCAGGACAACACTGCTGAAAATATGCATGATAAACACAGGACAATGTTGCTGATAAAATGCATGATAAACACAAGATAATGCTGTCACATGCTGTCTTGTTTCTTAACACTTTTCCATAGACTATAAAGCACGTTGTCCATTATCTTGGGAAATTTAAGTCTTCTAACACATGTCTGATGCATTGATTCACCATGGTTTGTTTTTCATTGATCTGCTATTGTCTGTGTTTTTTCTGTTGATGCATGTGCCAAAGTTTTTACTTGCTCTGTCATTTTCTGATTTTCTAGTTTGCTTGTCTCTGAATATGATTGACAGTACCTACTTAGTAAGAAAAAATGTCCAAGTTATACATGTACAAGACCTTAATGTTTCATATATTAAATGTATCAAAAAATGTACCGTATATATGTACAAAACCATCTGCAAGTCATTACTCCAATGCATAACTTTGAAGTTGAAAAACCGTTATTTTAGATATATGAAGTACCAGTTGGTGTGTGCATTCAAAAAATGTATGCAAGGTCAAACAATAGGATATATATTTTCCTTTACTGACAGTGAAGAAAAATGCAACCCTGTTTAACATCCATCTTTTATGCCGAAATACCTAAATGACTAACAAATCTGATCTATACAACACTCTATTGCTAGAAAGTAGAATGACCGTCTGTTTTTAAAATTAAAAGTTTTCTATTACAGTTGCAATTTTTATAACAGAAGAGGGCAGTATGATTACAATTCAACCAAAGCTAATATACTGTATGGGGCAAAATCTTATTAACTTACTTAAAGGAAAGATTTATTCATTTATAATGTCAGGATTATCTCCCCTTTACAGAAGGTCATTGCTTCTTCAAATCAGATAAATTTCTTGTAGTGTATGAAAAATATATTAAAGAGAATAAAAATGTCAAGTTTTAGAGATGTTTTTTTTTACCAGAGTTAGAAAGAAATATTGGATCTGCAGGTTTAAATCAGTTTAGCATGCAGCTCTGGAGATTCTAAAAAGCTAACTTATTATGGCTGGTTTTTTTAGGGAGAAATGATCTCTTGTATGGCTGAACTGTTGAGACTGATGGACCACAGACAATACAGTGTCATCCTAAAACCAACAGCAGTGCCACTCAGGGTAACTGTGACATTATCTTCCATATAGACACAGATTGGAAAATTAAACATTCTGGAATGAACAATGTATCACAGTTAAGAATAAAAAAATACTGTAAAGCAAGACTACACACACTGCAAAAAAAATGTTAAATAAAGCAGCTAAAATGAGGATTGAAATCTGTATGAGAGTTATTTCCCTTGAAGTTAATTTTGAGACACTGTTTTAGGAGTTTCTGGGTAGAGTACTGCTGACTTTCAGGGAGTTGATCAAAGAGGACTTATTCCCCCCGGGGTGGACAGTCATGAGAATGGTCATCAATAAGTAAGGACCTGTTACTGATATTTTGTAGCTTATATGAAGAGTTGGAAAGCTCTCTATGTGACTCTTCGTCATATTTATTATTTAAAAGTTACATATATGTATAGTATGGTATTAAATTTTGTCACTTTGTTTCAGTGCTCTATTCACTGCGATAGAATACTTGTCTTCTTCGCTCAGTGAGCACTTCCTCAAGAAAGATCAGTTTGATATGCAGGTACCTACTTCCTTTACTCTTTGAAATAAACCAGAATTTTTTAATCAAAATGCATCCTTATAGTATGATAATTGTATAAGAGAGATAAGACCTGTGTTATTCCTTGTTTAGCTGTGGAGTCACTACTTTAACCTGGCGGTAGCCTTCATCACTCAGCCCAGTCTACAGTTAGAGCGGTACTCAGACGCCAAAAAACGCAAGATCATCGACCGATACCAGGACATGAGGATCCTAATGGGGCAACAGATACAGAATCTCTGGGAAAACCTAGGTCTGTCTCAGAGTCTGGCATGAAGTGAGAATGTTATGTTGGGGGAGGGAGGGGCTAGGAAAAATTAGATGCATTTGAGGGTCTGCCATACCTGGAAATATTTTTGTTCAGCAGTAGTGGTGGGGGGGGGGGCTTTTTCAAATGCATTGAATTTTGTTTTTTAAATAAAAGATGAATGATATAAGATCAGATAGAGTTGCAAAAATTATCACACTTTAATGTGTGATAACTGTTTCCTTTTCATGATACAGGTGCCAACAGACGACATTTTATTCCCTCCCTGATTGGTCCCTTCCTGAAGGTGACCTTGGTTCCTGAGGAAGAACTGAGGAAGGCCACCATTCCAATATTCTTTGACATGATGGAATCGGAGGTGAAAACCTGTGGAAATTTTCAGTTGGTCAGTATCAGTAGAAATATCAGTTACTCTAACAAATACGAATTCTTTTTTTTTTTTTTTTTAGAATATTCTTTTTTTCAAATCTGTGCATTTATTTTTATTTCTGATAACAGTTGTACTTTGTTATTAGGTTGAAAATGAGATGATAGAAAAACTGGACGAATTTATCACAACTGAGAACCTAGGAGACACAGATTATATGGCTCTTTTCAGTACAATGTAAGTAAACATACATCAGTAACATTCCCTTCTGTTCAGTACAATGATAACACTCTCAAGGGTTCAGTACAATGTAAGTAAACACAAATCAGTAACATCATTCCTCCACTGTTCAGTAGAGTATAAGTAGATACACATCCAGTAAACACTAAGCAACAATCAGTTCTGAAATCTCCCTGGTTGAAAGATTATTGTCAGTTAATTTTGTCTTACTTTACATTCATGTAGCTATTGGTTTGTGTCACTTTATGGGTTGTGAGGAAAGTCAAATTGATTTTTTTCTATAGTGGAGTTGGGGAGTTGTACACTAGAGAAAAGTATCTGTACTTTTCTTGTTTTGAATCGAGTTTTAGTCAAATGAGCAGTCCCAATGAGTGACTTTGTTAATAATGTTTATAATTTATATCTATGTAACATAGCAGCCTCTTTACTGTAATTGATTTGGGTAGAAAATACAGATATTTTTAGCTCACCTGAGCCGAAGGCTCAAGTGAGCTTTTCTGATCACATTTTGTCCAGCATCCGTCTGTCTGTCTGTCCGTCTGTCTGTCTGTAAACTTTTCACATTTTCGACTTCTTCTCAAGAACTGCTGGGCCAATTTCAACCAAACTTGCCACAAAGCATCCCTGGGTGAAGGGGATTCAAGTTTCTTCAAATGAAGGGCCACACCCTCATTCAAGGGGAGATAATTGGGAATTAATGAAAATTTGGTAGTATGTTTTAAAAATCTTCTTCTCAAGAACCACTGTGCAGGGAAAAATAAAACTTATGGAGAAACATCCTCAGGTAGTGTAGATTCAAGTTTGTTCAAATCATGACCCTTGGGGGTAGGGCGGGGCTACAATGGGCTATCGAAGGTTTTCATAGAAATATATAGGAAAATTCTCTAAAAATCTTCTCCTCAAGAATAGCAAAGCCATAATTGATCATATTTAAATGGAAGCATCCTCAGGTAGTGTAGATTCAAGTTTGTTCAAATCATGACCCCGGGGGGTAGGGTGGGGCCACAATGGCCGACCTAAGTTTTACATAGAAATATATAGGAAAATTCTTTAAAAATCTTCTTCTCAAGAATAACAAAGCCAAAACTGATCATATTTATATGGAAGCAACCTCAGGTAGTGTAGATTCAAGTTTGTTCAAATCATGACCCCCAGGGGTAGGGTGGGGCCACAATGACCGACCTAAGTTTTACATAGAAATATATAGGAAAATTCTTTAAAAATCTTCTTCTCAAGAATAACAAGGCCATAACTGATCATATTTATATGAAAGCAACCTCAGGTAGTGTAGATTCAAGTTTGTTCAAATCATGACCCCCCAGGGGTAGGACTGGGCCACAATGGCCAACCAAAGTTTTACATAGAAATATATAGGAAAATTCTTTAAAAATCTTCTTCTCAAGAATAACAAAGCCATAATTGATCATATTTATATGGAAGCATCCTCAGGTAGTGTAGATTCAAGTTTGTTCAAATTATGACCCCCAGGGTAAGGCGGGGCCACAATGGCCAAACAAAGTTTTACATAGAAATATATAGGAAAATTCTTTAGAAATCCTCTTCTCAAGAATAGCAAAGCAATGATTGGTCATGAGACTACTTTTGGATTTTAACTTTTCAATAAGAAACCAATTTCTACTTTTTCCTAGCCACAGTGCTCAGGTGAGCGATTTGGCCCATGGGCCTCTTGTTTCATGACTGCTTATGTGCTGTATTTCAATGGATTTGTTGTGAAACATGAATAAAAAGAAAACTAGGAGGCCAAATAAGATTAACTTTTTAGCAAAGACAGTTTAAATTAATACATGTATTTTAATATATTCCAATTCATCTATTACTTCAAATAGATTTCCAGGTCAAATATGGAAGGGAATTACCGCCAAAAGTCTATGTATCTTGCTTTTATTCTTATTCTGACTACTTCTTTATGCTTTGTTATTATTGTAATTATATATCACTTTATTGTTTTCATATTCGTCTTTATTGCATTTCACTTTGACTTTTATCCTTTTTCATTTTGCCCTTACTTCTATGTTGCTTTATTCTTGTTAATTCATTTTACTTTCTTTTAAATTGATACAGTTTCTTAAATGATTATCTCAATTACGAACGTGAATTCAATCACACAATGAATGAAGCATATTCAATGAAGCCGAATACAAGTTGTCAAAATTTAGTGCCGCATTATAACGCTAGGTGGCAGGGGTGTTCGCTACGAGTGATGGTAAAACTAGGTAAGCAAACCCGGGCCGGGGTTATTAAAGATTTTTCAATTTTCTGCATTAATTATCAATCGAACATCTGAAGGCCGAATCCGATCACCCTATCCAATGATGGAAACTCCATATTTATTTTCTCTGCGCACACAGGAATAGCGGCCTCTTTTTTTTAACATAACTTTATATACCGGTACTTTACTGAATATGCTAATTGAAAGGCCGACCCATTTTTTGTAAGGGTAAGGGTCAAATAAGGTTAATGTAGTATAGTAGGGATAACATTTAAATTTGATACTATAGAAGAAGTTGAATCTAACCCAAAACCCACCCGCCCCCTTGATATGATTTCATTGGCATCGGAAGCAAAGTGAAAGTTGGGGCGGGGGGGGGGGGGTAAGCGTAAGAAATATTTTTTATACCTTAAAAAAAAAACTTTAACAGCAAAAAAAAAAAGAGAGAAATGTCCACTGTCCAAACACAAAAATCCTATATCGTGTGTGTGTGTAGTGGTGGTGGTGGGTGGGGGTGTTCAAATTTCAGTGCCAATTTCTTTTTTTCAAAACACCACCACTTTCCACATTTAAAACCTATGCTGCATCGAGTCCATGGAAAGTGTGTGTGTATGTGTGTGTGCGTGGGGGGGGGGGCTCTTAACATACGCAGTAATGTTCAATGTCTATACTAAGTCTAACTTTGGGCGCAGTAATGTTCAATGTCTATACTAAGTCTAACTTTGGGAAAAAGTGGGGGCTAAGCTATCTCTCTCTGCGGTTCCGATCGACGCCTATGTATTTTCAGGTTTGGACAATTTCCTTGTTTTTTTTGTTTTTTTTTTTGTTTTTTTTTGTTTTTTTTTTTTTGTTTTTTTTTTTTGTTTTTTTTTTTTTTTGCTTGTCAAGTTGTTTTCAGCGGATAGCTTGAATTTTCAAAAAACGATGCTACGTCACTGTTCTCTCGCCTGAAAAAATATCACTCTACTTAAGTAATTTGTTAGATAATTGAATTCCCGTTTAACAGTTTAATTGACATAAAAATGTTAAATATTTTGATACTAGATGCCCCTTCATAAATTTATAAATTGAGTTGTTTTTCAGAACATTCTTAAGCGTGGATCTAGGAATTGAAGTTAGAGGGGCGTCAAAGGAAGGCAAGGGGTCTGGAGGCCGCCTTGAGGCCCCAGTAGGTCAAGGGCAAAGCCCTGGTGGGGGCTCAGGGGGCGAACACCCGGAAGCTCCTGGGTTCTAGAGATTTTGTAGGGTAAAAATGAGGTCTACCAAGTAGGCATATTTACATTTTCTAGACGAAACTGTGATTTATGTTAACTTTGACAATTTTAGGGGTGGAGGGCGCCGGATGCGCCCCCTCCTTAAATCCGTCACTGGTTCCACTGAACTGAACTTTATTTCACGACAGATAGTAATTGCTCATGCGTGTGATTTTAGGGACGGGGCTTTGCAAAGGAGTGAGGAGTGTTATTGGTAGGCAAAGTTGGAACCAGGCTACACCCAGGCATACTAGAAACTCCCCAGTCTTTTTTCATGCATTAATATTTTATGTTGAAATAACACTTTTTAATAAAGAAAAGAAATATCTTTTAGTACGCACCGTATTATACATCAGCCAGGAGAGTTAAAAAAATCTTAAAACTTGAAAATTCTTTATTTGGTGGTGGTGAGGGGGGGGGGGGGTCGTCAACTTTTTTTCAGTACCAAATATAACTCAGATGAACATATGCCACTAAGTACATGACTACTTTAATATATGAATTGACTACATTGTATTAGCATGTGATTAGTACTGCAACAAAAAGTGTAAGGTATGGGGCAACAAGCCTTTCGCTGAACTTTTCCAGTAGTAAAAAGTATGTTACGTTTAGGAAAACGTTTCGTGGCATCCTCCCCTCTATCGGTGAAACTTACCCCATAGGAGGTCGTATAGACGGAAGTCAGTATATATTGAGACTTGGGGGTATGATTGTATAACGTCCCTTTAAATTGGAGAATTTTTAACTCAAATGGAGAAGCCACCTCTTGGCGGTGGATAGCTGCAAATTTGTCCTATATACTCGGCACTTATAGCCATTGGGCGGTGAGGGATCTTTTATCGGGCCAGCACCTACTGCGATACGGGACCTCGGATAATACGCTCTAGATCTCATCCGAAGGACCGAACTCCACGTCCCATAGTGGGATTCGAACCCACGACGTATTGATTGACTCCTTACTACTGTGTTTCGTGACCCTAGAGCAGACGCCGTAACCACAGTGCCACGCGGGCGATTGCACCCGAGTGGAGGGGCATCCGGGGGGTGGGGGGGGGGGGCGGAATTCATTATCCATTTGTACTCGTGAAGATTATCTATGTTAAACTAAATGGTTAGAATTGTTTAATTATTAACCACTATTAAAATGGTTACATTTAAACATTTATTCATGTAGGACGTATAACTTAATTTTCTTAAAAAACTGAAAACGTTAGCATATAAATATTGTTTTACGATTAAAAAAAATATTCGGGGGAGGGGTTGCTATGAAGGGGGACGAATTGCTATATACAGCTAGATTTCCCACGGAAGACTAGCTATATATTGAAACTTCCCCGGGGGAAGTCTCACTGAATAGTCTTCCGAAGGAAGCATCACTATGTAGTCAGTCTTCCAGGGGAAATCTGACCATCTTCCGAGGGAATGGCATTATCGGGTACATACCTGAACTTATAACAAACATCATTTGAAAATTTAAGTTCGATTGATAAAGTATTAAGGCAGAAAATTGAAAAATCTTTAATAACCCCGGTCCGGGTTTGCTTACCTATTTTTACCAACAATCGTATAGCGAACACCCTGCCACCTAGCGTTATAATGCGGCACTAAATTCGGACAACTTACATTCGTCTTCATTGAATTTAGTGCCGCATTATAACGCTAGGCGGCATTGTTTACATGATTGAATTTACGTTCGTAATCGAGATAATCAAGATAGTTTATTTAAAAAACAATATCAAATTAAAAGAAAGTAGAATGTATTCACAAGAATAAAGCAACATAGAAGTAAGGACAATATAAAGAAAGATAAAAGCTCAAGTGTAATGTAATAAAGACGAATACGAAAACAATAAAGTGACATATAATTACAATAATAACAAAGCATAAAGAAGTAGGCAGAATAAGAATAAAAGCAAGATACATAGACTTTTGGCGGTAATTCCCTTCCATAGTCAAAGTGATTAATTTCTTCCATAAAGACTTTATGCATCTCTTATTGTGTTCAGTCTCCGCTATTCTAAGGGGGCTTTTTTTCAATTCTGAGAGTGCACATAACAGCAGGAAGTAAATTATGGCTTGTCTAGGTTGGAAGAATTAACTTGAATTCATGCATGTAAAGTATAAAATTCATTTTACTATACATATGTTAAAATTAAGAATGACGTGTAAATGAAACAGACATATAAACAGACATGTTCCATTGTTAATGTATACATTGGTAAGCAAAAAAAAGTCGCTTGCATATTTAACCTTTAAATATATTATTTGTTAATTATTGGCTAAAATAGTTTAGTTGCATAGCCTTCGAAAAAATATATAGATGAATATTACCACTGCACTCCATTCTTAACAAGGAAGGGGAAGATATTTTATTTAATTTAAGTTATTTATGTTGGTGAAACAATAAATTGAAATTATATAGTTACAGATTTTAAATGAAATGGTAAAAAGTTTATAAGAAAGATAGAACACATGTTAACTAATAAAAAAAAAGTTTATGAACAGAGGCTAAAAAGCAAAATAGCTTTGAATTTCAGTTCTGTTCAAAAATTGTAATAAGTTAAAAGTGACGATGAAAAATTAATTTACATCTACTTCCTTTGATATAAATACCAGTATAATATATGCTCATACCTTAAGATACAATAATCTTTGATATTAGTGGAATCAGATAAGAACTAGAGTTTTACATGTTAGACATGTGTTTTACAGAATAATCCTAATATTTACAGCTAATTCTCCTTTGAGATCAAACAAACAATTGATGATGTGATTATGACACCCTGTATAAGTGTGGATAAGACAGAACTTTGTATTTTATGACCCGAGGTGTTAAAACCAGCCACACTCAGGGAAATAATTGTTTAACATGTAAACATTAAAGACAGCCAAGGTGCAATAATGATTGCATGCTGTGTTAGATATGGGGACTGTCTGTCCTATATGGGTGTGAAGTACTCTCAATTATTGCATGACAGCCTCAGGGCATTCTGGTACGACCGTATAAAGTTTCCTGACCCCTCATTGTCTAGGGTGACACTAAGATATTTGTTTTACATGAAGGCCACTTGGGATTTTTACTGTTTAAGTATTAGGGATCACGAAGGACTGTACTCAATATCAATATTTTTAAGAGATTCTCACTTTTTTGTGGCAAATTTAAAAACTATTCAATAAAGTAATATTCGGAGCATTGAGGCCTGACATTGCCAGAAGAGGAGATTTTGTGTGGAGATAATTTGTCCTTTAATGTAAACAGAAGTTCCCCCAATTTAAATCACCATAATTTGTTATCAGCTGAAAGCGTAACCTAAGTGATCCGAGGGCCTGTATTTAGCCATTGTGAGAGGGTCTATTATACTGGTGTTGTGTTGACTCGGGATTATTGTGACAAAAACAGCGTGTCCTCGGAAAGCGTCGGTGCCCCAGCGGACCGTTAGATGTGGCTTCCCTCATGAGGAACATCATGATCCCTGGCAGAAGGGCCTCTCAGAAGGGCCTTGGGCCTGGCTGCCGGACCGACAAAAACTTCAGGTCACGGAGTAAGTCCCAGCCTAATCTGTACCCCTGGAGGAGGGGGTCCTGTTCCAAGTACCAGGGTGAGGAAGGCAGTGGGAATCAGAATCTATCTGGATTGTCTGTCTCCCAAAACAGGAGAAAATCTCTCTCTAGATTTTCAAGGTTTGTAGGGACAAAGAGAAATTATGCTTGATAGGGGTAGAGTAATTTTTTTTTTATTATTGCTGAATACAGAACTTTAACAGGCTGAAAAAAGTTTGAAAATTTCAGAATATTTAGATTTGAATATAGCCCACTATCACATAGAGTCATACAGATTTTATAAAGTTCACCTCCCAATTGTCTGGTTAAATGTCTTAGTAGAAATTAATATATTAATGCTTCTTACCTTTAAAAAAGATCATATTTGTTTAGTTTTTTTGTTCTTGTACACCAAGAACAAATTGCTACATTTTAATGCATTACTTGGTTTTATAGTCGGGGGGATGGGGGGGGATTAAACAAATATTATATTAATACCATGCAGTAAAATTATTGCGCTAATTTATCTTATGGTGTATAATGCTTCATTGGTCCATTTTAAAATATTTTTTTTACTCTTATCCCTGCATAAACAAAATCTCATCTAATAAACTTTATGTATGTCTTGTGTATGCTCTTGTCATAAAACAGAAAAATCAATAGATTACAGTAAGATTTTACCAACCTTGTTTTACCCTTTTACCTAGAAGTTTAAGGTAGCTTATTAAAGAAGTATAACATTCTCTTTTAAGTCATGGTAGGAGCATTAATATACATACAAGAGAGTAAGCATTGCTTTGTGCCATTTTCACAGAGTGACATGTTTTATTTCTGTTTAAGATTTTCTTTATTTTGGCCTTTGAACTGAAGAAGTGAATATTTGTACAGATGTTTTCACTTATCAAATTAAAAGATCAAACACCTTCACACATACTGTACTCGGTAGCTGTTTACCGTCACGCTGTTTGTTATTTATTTCCTACAGACCAAAAAAAAAAAATCACAGCTTTTAATTACTTCGTTTTCCTCTTGTTTGTTTGGAAGAATAGTTGGTAGCTTTGTTAAAAGCAAAAGAAAGTAAATGTCTCATATTCAGTGTGAAATACTAAAACTGTAAGGATTATCCAATTGCATATCATTAAAATATATTGTTTAATTGATTTATTTAAGGTGCCCAATTACTGGTAATTTTAGTTTCTAAGGCAGACATTTTCCAGTGGCATAGAAAGATTTAGACACTGTCAGCTGGCCAAATAAATTCTGTCCTTTCAGACTCTGCAGTCTCATTTTCTTTTTCACTATTTGCCAACCAAAAGTTGAAGAAAGTTGTGCCTGAGAGCTATTACTGGAATAGGTTGTTGTGATTTATGAATGGCTAGGGAACCGTTTCTGTGGCGTTTCTGTGGCGGGGAGATAGGCCATTGGCAGCTCTCTCTGCTGATAGCGCCAAACAGCAGGTGCTTCCTATAGCTACTACAGAACAGACTCCAAATCCTACAACTTCTCAAATTCTACAAAACTAATGGACAGACACTTTCTTCTATAAAGACAGAACTTATGTAGTGCAATGTAGGCTTCTGAGAATCTCCTCTCTGCTTTGCTCCACTGTGTTTGATGAGGTCTCTTTCTTATATCCCTGGGAGCTGTTAATTGATAAATTGTGAAATAGTTCTGTGGTCTTGGTGAGGATGAAAACACCTCTGATGTTTAAGTTCAAGAAATTTGATCAGGCAAAGTAAGTATAATATGGTTTAATTAACATTGATGCTTTAATTGACAGGAGGTTAATTAAGTATTTAGGATATTTTTTTTAGCTTTTGATAAAGAATTTGAAATGCTACCTGAGTAAGTTTCTAAGTGAACTGATGTAATGCAAAACAGCTAGGTTTTGCATTAAAATTTTGTATCTCAAATTTGTTGAAATACCACTTTTTAAAATTTATTTTGAAACTCAAATTTTAAGTATTTTCATCTAGTGAAATTAATTAATTCTGAAAAATCTTGCCGATATTAAATTGAATGCACCCTGTAAATTCAAAAAAAAAAAAAAAAAAAACCAAAGAATGGTATTTTTCAATACACTGATCAGCCATATTGGATTAAGAATTTGGCTAAATGATAAAACCAAAGAAAAGGCAACAAATGTTATTCTTTTCTCATGAAGCAGGCGGTACTGTTAAATGACTGGAAAATAATGGAGATAGCACCCCTCATTAGAATCCTGCCAATAATGACTGGAGCAGACAGACACCATGTAGTGCTGTCCCAGGCTCTTACTCCTGGGGGATCTAAGGAGATTAACCCCCAATCTAGCTAATTTACACCATTTTCAATTTCAATGGCATCCAATACACAGGGTTGAAAACGTGAAGTTTGTATTTACCCTTGTTTGGGTTTACAGGTATTTGATGAGGGACATGCCTATAAACTGAGTGGACTGGGGGAGTGTTGTATACATATAAATACATATAAAAGTACTGGGCAGTGGTGCTATACCTATAAAGGCTTTGTTCACTTTATTAGCACTTCAGACTCTTTGTCACCTTTCTGTGGAATATAAATAATCCTGGTCTGTAATTCTAAAGTCCATTATCTCCCCTGGGAGTCCTGGAGAAGCTGGAATCAGGAAGGGATGCTGCAGTTGGCAGATTGGATTAGACCACTGCCATCTTGTATCTGACAGTAGATAGATTTGTTTGACAGGAAACAGTTCACACTTTTTCTGATTGACACATCACTAAGCATCTTGGCAAACAACAATTTCATATATCATTTTTGTGTGGATTTTATTCTACAAAGAAATACTTTCAAATGTACAAACAGCATTGGAGTGAACAATTTTTCAGTTAACACTCAGTGTACTATATGTGTTGAACTGTTCTGCAGATTATTATGGGATTTGAACATAATTATATAAACATTGAGATAAAATGGTGAAATTTTTCCACAGATTGTTGGATAAAGTTGAGAAGGAACCCGAGCTGAAGGAGAATGGCCGACAGTTTGTCCTGTCTGTCACCAACCTACTGGAGAGGCTGCTGGACTATAGGTAAGATTTAATGGGGGGACTTAGAGAAAAGAAGGGAGGGGATGCATGGAAGCATATGCTTTGTAGACCATGTCAGTACTGTTAATATTTGAAGAGCAGCATTAATAGAGAAAAACTTTTTTCTTTCACAAAATATTGCAATTGGCCAGCCAAAATGATGGTTATATAACTTTGCATCGGGATAACTGCAATAAACTCTTAATTCCACAAGAAGGACAGGACCTTGGTCTGATTTTTTCCCCATAATTTTTATGTGATGTTAGTAAATATGTCCAACATCTCTCCTATTAGATTTGAACTTTATTTAGCAATACATACATTGGTATATACAGTGCCTTTTCTAGTAACTTGGACAAAAAAAGAAAGAAATAAAAAGTTTGAAAAAATTTATCAAACACTATCTTTACATGTATAAAAAACTGAAATATCGAATAATGAACTTAAGTCCTTTGTACTTTTGACCAATTGTAGCAATATTGAAAGCAAAACCATAACATCTATATTCCACAAGGAAATGTACGTGATAAAAAATGCTTCCAAGTACCATCGTCGCAAACCACGGGTTTTGACTCCACAAGCTTCAAAGAGAGAATCGACGTGAATCACCCGTGGGTTACCGACGATGCCGAGTACAGGCAAAACTTTGACATCACAAGAATACAATTTTTTATAAAAAACCAAATAAGATGTAAAAACAAAGAATATCTCCTGCCATTCATGCAAAAATTATGATTCATTTTGAATTTACCTTGCCTTGCATTGACTATCACCTGTTTGATAAAAAAGTTGACCTTATAATCAGAAATATAAATGAACATGATCTTTTTGCACTAACAGATAATTGTTAGACCTGCATTGTTAGGAAAGAAGAGGAGTGGATCAATCTTTTTAGGAATTTATACATTAAAATTCTGAAATATGTACAAAAATTATACAGCTAGCTATTGACGATTTTAACAATGTTTATTGCCTCTGTTAATTAAAGGAGTCTATGACATACTATAGTCAATTCCCCTTAAATGTGGGCGAGCTCATCATCTGCAAATAAAAATAGTTACCAGAGATTTTTCTTTAATTTACCAGTGTATTATTTTCTACTTTGTGGTGTCTGTATAGTAAGAAAAGTGTAAATTCATTGGAATCTGTTTATAAACACAAGCTGTACATCTGCCTTTAAGATAATTTGTTTCATTGTGTGTCTGTATCTGTTACAATGTGGAGCTGCAGAGTTACGTGGGTATATTGTATTATATGGCTGTTTCTTATGTTCCAAAACTACTTTTAAATCCACAAATGATAAATTCATGTGAATATTTATTGAAATTTTTTTTCTTTTTAGGCAAGTTTGTGGAGGGGAGGACTACAAGAGCAGTCACATGAAATGTACCTTCAATATACTGGTAGGTATTCAGTAATAATCATCGTAAAAATCTGCGAAAATAGTTTATCTACCAGTGTACAGGCTCATCTTCAGGGCCAAGACAGTATGACCACTCCATGAATAGCTCTTAACCTTTGTTTGTATTTTTAAGTGGAAATTAATTATAACTTTTGGGTGGTTTCTGGAATTTTAAGTTGAGATTAATGAACTACCGGGTGGTTCTGGAGATCTAGGTAGTGAACCTTTGTATGCTATTGAGAGCTTTGTGAGCAATGTGGACATAGAAAAATTGCAGAGTTCTGTGATGCAGTGGGTTATAGCTTGGTGCTTTAGGGTGGACAGGCATGCAGGCAGTAGAAGAGATATTAAGGTGTCATGGTAGTGTCTATGCAATTTTTTATTCCTCAGTCATGAGATTTATTCTTTTATGATATTCACAGGATAAAAATATAGAAAAATTATAACCAAAGAACTTGGTCAATGATTTAATTTAGCATTGGTGCCATACCACACTTATCCCTCAGTAAGCTGTTTAATAGCGTACACTGAAAACAACATATGGTGGGCCTCTTAGAATCCACTCAACCTGCGAGAAGTTGTAAATTGTCAAACAGAATGAAATTTGATGTGATCAACTGTAGCTTAACAACTTGAAGCTTTTCTTTGGCATGGTTCATTAATTAAGTCAAAATCGTTAGACTCTGCAGGCTTCCTTTGACGACCCTCCTTAAAAAACAGAAGAGAAGAAACACATGGAAACCATTCATCTGAAAGGATGATCTATGGTGAAATACAAAAAAAAATTCACTGCCGAATTTATAAAAATAAAAATCTATTTATGAAGCCGGAGATGATCAATCCAGATTGTATTATGTAATGTGGAATGTAAAAAGGGAGATTGAATCACCCAACTAATGCTCTGTGTATATGAATTCCAGTCGATCTTCCAAGAAATTTATTCTGAAGTCATTAATTAAAGGGGCGAATGAAATTTATTTATTAAGTATGGTAGTAGCAGCAACTTTGTTATTAGCGAGAATTTCAAAGAATCGCTAAAAGATATTACTTGAAATAAGTTCTGTTTAGGTGTAGGGAACATCATTCAGCATCTTTTACATTTATAGCCAAAATAAGAAAGTTGTATACATGCATGTACCAGACCAGTACTTCTTTTACAAGTTTTGAACATAATATTATATTGCAAGAGTTATAAATACACCAAAAGTATGAGGGTTTATCCCTTTTCTCTATTTCTACTGAAATAGTTTAAAATAAGTCAATTTTTTGTAGAATTTTTACAAGGACAACACAAACAAAGAAGAGATGTACATTCGGTACATTAAGAAGCTGTATGACCTTCACCTTGCTGCCCAGAATTACGTGGAGGCGGGGCTGACCCTGAAGCTGTACGCCCAGCTGTTACAGTGGAGGGACACGATGAGGAAGGAGGAGCTAGACTACCCCAACCAACCAGAGTGGGAGAGGAAGGAGAGGGTCTACCTACAAATCATGGACTGCTTCGACAAGGGCAAGGTTAGCTAGGGTTTATACAGAATTATGATAGTGAAGTTTACTATAGCAGAGTAAGCAGTTCAGTACACATTCAAATAAATGAGTACTGGAACCTATCTCGAGTCTGTGTTGTTGCTTTTATTTTCATCTATAAATTGGTAAATGTCCTTGAGTTTTAAATTATGTAATAGATGGATATAGACCTTTAAAAAAGTGTTGAACCTTTTCCAGGTTTGGGAGTATGGTATTCCTTTGTGTAAAGAGTTGGCAGAGGTCTACGAGAAAAAGTTTGATTACAGGAAGCTGAGTAATGTTCTGGCAAGTACACTTCCAGGTCAAAGGTCAAATCTGTCATTCATCAACTTTTTTGAAACTGGATAAATTTCATAAAGAATGAAAATTTAATGAGTGAAAAATGTATCCTATCTAAAGGTTCTTGTTTTCCCTTATGTTTATAAGTTAAAGATAAAATGTAACTTATTAATCATTCTGTTTTGCTCTTGACAGGAAAGACAGGCAAGGTTTTTCAGTAACATACTGGATGGGGTCAAAGTTCAGGAGGAGGGGCAGGACCGACCTGTCTTCTACCCCCGACAAGAACCGACCTACTTCAGAGTGGCGTACTATGGACAACTCTTCCCACTCTTTGTCAGAGTGAGTCAAAGTTTGTCTACTATGTTATACAATTAATTATGCACGGAAGTCCCAGTTTTTATGTTGGTAAGTAATGTATAAAAAACTGACTGAGAGGATTTAAATTTTTTCAGAACAAAGTGTTTATCTACAGAGGGGATGAGTGTTTGAAGCTACAGGACATAATAAATCAGCTGAAACAGGAGTACCCCATGGCTACCATCCTACAGTTCACCAACACTATAGACGAGGACAAGAAGCAGGGGGAAGCTCAATGTAGGACAGTAGTTAACTCCCTTTATGTATTAAGTCTGTATTGATATCTTCTCTGTGTGGAAATAAAAAAAAATATACGTGCTCAAAAATTGAACTTGTCATGATACAATTAAAGGAAACAAAAATATTTATTAATTGTACTCAGTGAGGGAAAAAAAGACATGTTCAAAAGTTAAGTTACTAAATTTTTTTAGCTCTTCTGAGCCAAAGGCTCAAAGAGCTAATGCTATGGCCATTTGTGCGGTGTGCGTCGTGCGGTGTGCGGTAACTTTTTAGAAAATGGGCCATAACTCAAGAACGCCTTGGCCAATCAGTGTCAAATTTGTCACAGGGTATCCTTGGCCCAAGGGCTACCAATTACACTAAAATAAGGGTTGGGACCCTTAAACAAGGGGAGATAATCAGGAAAACAAAACCAAAAGTACTGGTTGCTAAAAAATCTTCTTCTCCAGAACCACCGGGCAGATTTTCACCAAACTTACGCACAAGGATCAGAATATGTTGAAGATTAAAAATTGTTCAAGGCATGACCCTGGGGTAAAGGGCGTGGTCTCAAGGTCACTTCAAAGTTGACCTAAATTTACAATTGATAAAAACGTTTATATTTTGCTTACTATAAGGACTAGGATGATCAAATCTTGTAAGTTGATGCATGTTAAGACTTCACATCATGTTAAATCAAAAGTAGGTCACAGTGACCTACTTTTTTAATTTTGCAGGCATTTGTTTTCAAATTGATTTGAAGGCATATTTTGGACACTTTAAGGCCTATGATCATCAAACTTTGTTAGTTGATGCATCTTGGGTCCTTAAACAACGTCAAATTAAAAGTAGGTCACCTTGACCTACTTTTTGAACTTTATGACTTATCCTTTTTAAAACATTAAATCCCATTATTGCAGACACTGAGAGGGTTAGAATCATCAAATCTTGTAAATTGCTGCATCTTGGGACCTTAAAACATATTTATGAAAAAGTAGGTCACTGTGACCTACTTTTTGAATTTTGCAGGCATATGTTTTCATATTGTTTAAAAGGCATATTTTGATTACCTTCAGACCTACGATCATCAAACTTGGTCAGCAGATGCATCTTTGGACTTTGAAAAATGTTGACTAAAATGTAGGTCACGGTGACCTACTTTTGACATTTTATGGCTTTATTTAAGTATCTTCGGTATTTATTGGCTAAGAATCATCAAACTTTGTGAGTTGATGCATCTTGGGTTTTCGGAGAGTGACGACCAAAAAGTAGGTCATGGTGACCTACTTTTGACATTTTATAGCTTTATTTAAGCATCTTAGGTATTAATAAGCTTAGAATCATCAAAACTTTGTGAGTTGATGCATCTTGGGTTTTCGGAGAGTGACGACCAAAAAGTAGGTCATGGTGACCTACTTTTGACATTTTATAGCTTTATTTAAGTATCTTAGGTATTTATAAGCTTAGAATCATCAAACTTTGTGGGTTGATGCATCTTGGGTTTTCGGAGAGTGATGACCAAAAAGTAGGTCATGGTGACCTACTTTTGAATATCTCGGATACATATTGGCTGAGAATCATCAAACTTTGTCAGTTGATGTATTTTGGGCTTTCGAAAATCGCCTACTAAAAATTAGGTCACAGTGACCTACTTTTAACATTTTATGGCTATAATTAAGTATCTCCAGTACTTATTGGCTTGGAATAATCAAACTTTGTCAGTTGATGCATTTTGGTTTTTCCAAGAATGTAGATGAAAAAGTAGGTCAAAGTGACTTACTTTTGACTATCTCACATACTTATTGGCTTAGAATCTTCAATCTTTGTCTATTAATGCATCTTGAGTCCTCAGAAAACTTCAATCTTAAAGTAGGTCATTGTGACCTACTTATGGTTTTTTTTATAGCTTTATTAAGATATCTTCAGTTATAATTGGCTAAGAATCATCAAACTTTGTCAGTTGATGTAAGTTGGCTCTTAGAATACTTAGGGTTAGAGGCTTCAAATAGAAGTGATAGGTTGTACAATTTATCAGAAGAGCGATTCAAGGCCCTTGGGCCTCTTGTTTTATTATTCAAGAGAAGGAGTAAAGAGTAAGACCTATATCTCGCTGACATTTTTGGTTTCAGACATACAGATTGGTAGTGTGAAGCCGCGGCCAGAAGACAAGCCAGAGTTTGTATACAACACCAATGTGGCTCCTGAGATTAAGAATTTCTACGCTGTTAATGATGTCAGCACATTCCAGTTTGACAGATCTTTCCACAGAGGAGAAAGGGATCCAAATAATGAATTTAAGGTATCATCACCTATCTTAATTCCCTTCAAAAACTGGGATTGTAAATTGACAGCATTATAAAAGACATTTTCCTTAAAATCAAGATTTGCTTTGAGATTTAACTAAAATAGCTTTCTTAGAATCATGGATTTTGGGATGTATATTTCAGAACTGAATACCTGCATTGATGTTAGTAAATTCTGATGTTCTGTTAATTTTTTTTACCCAGACCCTGTGTACAGAGAGAATGGTGATGCACACAAACTACTGCTTCCCAGGGATTTTACAGTGGTACGAAGTGATTAGAACTGAACATGTGACTCTTAGCCCCGTGTGCACTGCTAATGAGGCTGTCAAATCGGCCTGTAAAGAACTACAGAAAGAGATTGATAAAACTAAAAAAGACTCCTCTATTGATGCCATCAAATCTCTGTCTATGAAATTAAATGGAATGATTAGTGCTTCTGTTCAAGGTGGAATTCCTAAATATCAGGAGGTAGGATCTTCAAACTTGGAATATTTTATTTTAAAATAAAGAGGTGCAAGGTATTGTGATTGAAATAAGAATATGAATGCCATATTTGTATATGTAAATGGTGTATCTGCCATTGCTGTGCATTCTATGAAGGTTTGCACACATGGGCATCTGTATCAATTTTCTTGCTCTACTTACTACATGCATTTTCCAGGCTTTCTTTACACCGGAGTATGAGAGACTTCACCCTGAGGAGAGGGACAGGATCCGCGAGTTGAAGGAGCTACTAAATGAGCAGGTCAAACTGCTGGATGCGGGTCTCCATCTGATGAAGACTATGGACCGGGTCCACGGGACGGGACTGTCTGACATGCTGAGGTCACTCAGCGAGATCCTAAAGGAGATTAAGGAGAGTCTGGGCATGCAGTCAGCCTCCGTACACAGGACCTCATCTCATCTCTCTATGACTTCCGTCAGGGTATGTGTCGCAATAACAAAAAATATCTCTGTTTTTTCTTGCTTTTTCAATGTTTTATTAGATTAAATACTAGTAGACAATCTCTTGGCCATTATCAAGAGCAAACTCTTTTATAAACACTTTCTCATATAAGCATGAAATGTATATTAAGATTGTAACCTCCAAAAAATTATTGTTGATGAATTGGAAATAATTGCAAATAGACATGTTCATAAATGCATGCATTTATTTTGTTTTGATCAGTATGAAATGCTGAAAAATCATTTTATATTGTTGTAAAATTGGCAATGTACGGTATGATTTGTATTACTACAGGAGTTTAAACCGCGACCGGACTCTGGAGTAGACAGTATGCTGGTAGAGATGAGGCCGGGCACCCCAGGAAGTGGGTCCCTCCACTCCTCTAGCAGGTAGGGCATTTACTGTAGGTCACCAACTTTATACAGCTCCTTATCTTTGCAAGATAGTCATTTACTCTAGAAACAGGACAGACTTTTCATGAATTTTGGTTCCTGTTCTGTGTAATCACAAATTAATTTATGAGAATGAATTTTCTTGCAAATAAATGATGATTTTCCCTAGTAATATAGATGTTAAGGATGTTAATTAAGAAAAGTTAAAAATACTCTGAATGAATTAACCATAATTATATACCTTTACTTGTGTGTTAATGGCAGACCTAATGATGATTGTTAATTAATTTTTCAGTAATCGATCGTCTGGTTACTCGGCTGATGCAGTGTCAGGAGATCTGGTTGACCTGTCTGAACCAGAACCAGTTCCAGCACCTGAGGTTAGTTGTCAATTAAACCAGCTCTATGTTGACTTTTGGTGTAGTGCTGTAGTTTAGTCTCACTTTTTATACACCCTGTAGATTATAACATAGATATTCAAGAAAAACAACCTGATTAATAGTTGAAATAAAACTCAGTGTTTTGTGTGCATCAAAGGAACTGGCCCTCTGATGTTAAAAAAACTATAGCAGTAAAAAAAATTATGGATGCCCTTAAAGTTTCAATAGAAATTATTTTTTCATAGATTTATTTCTGTTTTTGCAGTAGGACCAACAGCTTCATATTTACATCATTGAATGTGATAAATAGTTTGAGGAAAGTTGGAAAGAAAAAACACATTCAAAATTAATTTTTTTAAAAAGTGCAGGAAATATTTATAGATATGCACAGTTATATATATCCCATTTTAAGTTACCAAATATAGTTTTTATTATTTTTTTTATTATTTAATTGGCAGAGTGTGCTGAAAAATAAAAAGAAGAGAAATTTGTAACGACCAAGCACTCTTTTGTTAATACTATAAATCATCTATTTCAACCTGTCAATCTTTTTTTTTTTTTTAAATAAATAGCAGTCTTGCATTGCCTTGAATTTCCTTTGTATATTGTACTAATCTCGCTCTATTTTTATGATGTTATAATATTTTATTAATTTATTTCTCCCTAAATCTTACTTGATAATTAGATTTTTTTTGTTTAATATTGTTTTATAAATCTTGTTAACCTTGAATTTATTTGATTATGACACTATAGCTCTACCTGTTACTAGAATCATTTGTATTGTAGATAATATCACTCATTTTTGTAAAATTTATTAATCAAAATCTTTAATGTCCCATATACATTCTACAATTGATAATATAAAAGAATGAGATCTTTGAAAGAGAAGATCAATGTGAAAACAGTGAATGAACTGCCAATTTCCAGTTTATCGAAGATATAAACATGTACACAATGGATCTTAAGACGCTGAAATTCACATTGTAACATATATGTGGATGTGGGTGTTTTTATATACAGGACTAACAGAAAAATATTTAACCTAGTATATCTTTTGCTTATTCATTAGTTGTACATTTGTTAATGATATAAAGTAATTGTGGTGTAGAAAAACCTTATTAACCTGTTTACTTAACAATGCACGACTCTATGTATGACACAGTGTACCCTCTAGGTCCCCTATCCTTAACACAGTGTATGCCTGAGTAGCATGCTTAGCTAGTTTGTGTATCTATGTAGATATCCATCTCACTACCTTTTTTCATGTCTGCATGTTCAGAATTTCACACTACTTGACCTCTCACAACTCAAGGGAGTGAACTCCAACAGCAAGCCAAAGAGGCCATTGTCACTGATACATTCGTTCAGACCAGACAAGGCACATAGAGATCGATCCAAATCCGTCTGGTATGGTTCAGGATCTACAAACAGTTTGCTTCCTGAGGTAAACTTTATTCCCTCCCTTGTACCAGAGTCAGGACTGGTTTGACGTTGTTGAGTTATTTTTGGCCATTGACATGATTTATTGAGCATGTTGTGGTAGAGAACTAGATGGCTATGAACTTGGATAAGAGGTTTGGCTTTTGGAAGAATGTTGCAGTTTCCACAAGTCAACTTTGACAGTGGAAGGTTTTATGGTAAAAAATATGCTCATATAACTGTCCTATGTTTGATACCTCCCCTAAGCTTGAAGTATAGAGAAGCATGAGTATGAAATGGATGTATTTAGTCTTGGGCTGTAATCCTAACTGTCCAGTATATACTCTGAGTATGATCTCCTACTCAATAGAATTATATTATCCTATTCTTTACTATAAACAACCAGATGATGTAAGTTTTGCCCATTCTAGCAAAACAGATGATAGTGCATTAATTGCCTGATTTAGGCTAGCTATCAGAAGCTACATGATATATATGATAAATAAAAAATACAAGAATGTTACTAAAAGAAGAAAACTAATCAAGTCATATGTAAAATAACATAAATTTTGATAAGATTTAAAGAAGTACTGATCTTGAAAGTTGCACAATATTACAGATAAAGGTCACACCAAAAAGAAAAAAAAACACAAAATGCTAGAAAATGCAAAAAAACTATTTATATCTAGATGTTATAAGACAGAAAAATATAAGCAGACAGAACATTTAACTTTGAATATTGGATACAGAGATCTGTTTTCTTATGTGTGTGAAGAGGCTATGCAGTGTTGTGAAATATGGTTGTGCTTTTGTACCTTCATTGTGTGTGTGTGATTAGTCTAGACCTTCCTGCTTAGTCATTATTTACTTATTTTTCAGTTTTGACCATGGTATATGTTATGTATAATCCTCTGTCTTAAACATTTCTGAATAATTTATGTTTTAGAGCTTCTATTTTTACTTTATTTGTTTTAGTTAATTTATTTAAATACATGAATGTTTATAGCCTGTTATTTTTTCAATGAGTTTGTAGTTCTGACAGAATTTGCCACATGCTTGAATGAAGTCTTTTGGCGTTAGTCTGAGCTTTATTTTGTGCTTAAGATTATGAGACTGGCAAGTCAACCACAAGTGCCAAAAAATATGAATACAGAAGTCTGGTATTGCTTTTAAAAGTGTATACATGTATATACATGTAGTACATCCTCAGTATATATTGTAATTATACCAGTTCATTAGTAGTGAAACACTTTCTTCTTTTTCTTTTCACAGAAATCAAAGTTTGGCTCAGATCCAGATATTGCACACCGTCCTTCTTATAGAAATCAAGGTAAGTCATAACAAGTTCCTACACAGACACAAAACTAAGTCATACCAAGTACACAAACATCAAGATAAGTCATAACAAGTACTTACACGTACAAACAGGATAAGTCATATCTAGTTCACAAACCTCAGGATAAGTCAAAAGAAGTACTTATATACAGAGATATCAAGGCAAGTAAAAAAAATACACACACATTAGGGTAAGTCATAAGAAGTACTTGTATACAGAGTTATCAAGGCAAGTAAAAAAAAAAGTACTTATACAAACCTTAGGGTAAGTCATAAGAAGTACTTGTATACAGAGTTATCAAGGCAAGTCAAAAAAAGTACTTATACAAACCTTAGGGTAAGTCATAAGAAGTACTTGTATACAGAGTTATCAAGGCAAGTCAAAAAAAGTACTTATGCAAACCTTAGGGTAAGTCATAAGAAGTACTTACACAAATATCAAGGTCAAGCACAACAAATGCAAACTTCAAGGTAAGTAGTTACAAATACCCAGTACTTACA